GTGACGCGAACTCACAATCTTTTGCTGATTGGCCCAAAGTCACCCAATCAGCTTTCATGACAAAGGCAGGACTTGAACTCACAGTTTCCTGCTTTCTAGCCTGGTGCCTGGTGCCAGACAAATTGGCTTTATACTACATATAGATGTGTAAAGAATTAATTTTATCTCCAGTAGCTTAGTGACATGCTTCAAAAAATATGAAACGGCTGTGGAACAGCTTTCCTTCCAAAGTCTGTACATCCCTGACTCAGTTGTGCTTTTGTAAAGCTGTACTAACTGAGTTTTCAGCAGGATTGGGATAAAATAAAATAATCTGCTGTCTGATAGTAACTTTTTGGTCTTTGATTATTTATTTAGGGTTCCATTTCTCCTCCCTGATGTTCTATATAGCTGTTTAGGGGCAGTTCCTGTTGTATTTATTATGTTTATACCAGTGATGGCGAACCTTTTAGAGACCGAGTGCCCAAACTGCAACCGAAAACCCACTTATGCATTGTCGAGTGCCGGTTGGGTGTGGCCCATTGGGTGGGCGTGGCCCATTGGGTGGGTGTGGCTGTGGTGGTAACAGCAGACTGGGTGGGACTAAACAGTTCAATCAATCCATTCCAACTTTGCAAGATCTTTTTTTTTCCCCCAGAAGTTGAAATTGACTGATTGATTGAACCTTTTTTTTTTTGTACATGGCGGCGGAGGCCTAAAGCGAAAAGGTTTTATAAAACCCAGCGGAAGGCCTAGGGGCGACGGCACGTGTGCCCACAGAGAGGGCTCTGAGTGCCGCCTCCGGCACCCGTGCCATAGGTTCGCCACCACTGGTTTATACTGTTCTTTTAACCTTAAAATGTAACCCATCCCTGACTGAGGTTGCATGCAAATTGAAAAATACAAATCAAATATATTACAACTTAACTAACTCTTTGTAGTTGTGTGCATAGAATGGGGGAGAGTTTCAGGAACCGGCTAATGTGCAAAAAAGGACCTTTAATCTGATCTAGCACTATACTTAAGAGGTTGAACAATTTGTAAGCAACATCAGGTGGATAGATGGATGGATGGATGGATGGATGGATGGATGGATGGATAGATGGGGAGAGAGAGAGAGAGAGAGAGAGAGATTGACAGAGATAGATAGAAAAGAGAAAGAGATAGAGAAACAGAGACGAGAGAGACAGACAGAAAATATTTTAAAAAGTGCTTTGTGTACAGAACAGTGATATTTCCCTGGTTCAGGGGCCATTTTCCTCCTGCTGAAATTTACTTATATCAGCCTCACACACTCTCATAACTTTGAGCACAATCCAAAGACGGTGTTCTTGGAATAATTTCAGTTCGTTTCAACTGTGCATAACATTACAGTGAGTGTCATTATTATCTGAAGCTTTGGCTACCGTGTCCCTTAAGCCGCCGTTTCCAGTGGGTGGGTATTGACCGGGAACGTACGTGAAAAATTATACACACCCCAGAATACAGGCTGAACGTTCAGTATCTTCCTTCCTCCTTCCTCTCTCTCTCTCTCTCACCCGTGCTATTCCGAACTGCCGTTTGTTATCCAGGGAATCAATGTCTTCCCCACCACCGAGCCCTAATCACAGTTTGAAACATCAGAAATAATGATTGCTTCTGATCGGAGCTTGTGAATAATTCATTGGGTTTTGATTCCTCCCCCACCCCCAGTGCTGGCCAGTGATACCTTACAGGCC